CAAACGTGTTTTGGTTTACAGTCCAAACATTTGTTGTTTGTGTCCAATATGAAGTTCCTTGGTACTGGCATACGGGACTGCCAAGGTGACCACAACGTATTATGTGTTTAATTACACTGCAACCCTGCAGTAAATTAAATTTTGTATTGTCCAGATGTCCAGATACCATGGTGCTGTTTCAACATGATATTGAAGCCGCCTGCACTGGGTTATACTGTTTCTATTTCTTGTATGTGTTAGTGATTTATGTTTGTACTTGTTACATTAATATGAAGCACACGCCGAATAATGTAATTTAAATTAAATGTGATTGGTTCAGTTTCGGGGTGGTGTGGTAGCACAGTAGTTGGGCTATTTCTCCCTTTGTGCCTGTTGCTTTTGGGATAGTCTCTGGATCCCCACAACCCTACGTACAGTAGGACAAGTGAGTACAACGAATGGACAATCGCAGTTGTGATTGTCATAAACAGATATATGGAAAGTGAATCGGTGCAGGTTCACACAAAACAGGAAGCATGTGACGAAAGACTGCAATGGGCAACCAACATAGGAAGTGTTTCACAAGCATGCCCTCATCCCGTCGACCAGCCTGGAGGAGCTGGGGCTAATGGGCTTTAATAAAAGATGAGGATAACAGCGTGGATCTGGCTGTTTTTATTGGGAATGCATAGTGGATAGCAGGGAGGATGTTTACTTTGCTGCAGGAGCGACAGAACCCAGCCGTGCAAAGCTGTTGACTCCCATTAAAAATTTGACTCATTATCATTTTTTTTTTCTTTTTTTTGGCGGCGTAACTGGAATAACTGGAGAGCTGTGGGATGCCTGCGGGGGGGCGGTTGATGCTAATCCAAAGATTACAAATTCACCAATTTGTGCAGCTAGAACTCGAGCTGTTGTGTTCAGCTGCTATTTGGAACTTTCATACCCTTGTGAATACAGTTCCTTATCCACTACGCTACAATTCTACGTACACTACTCTACAATTATTGTATGCTGTAACAAAGGTAGATTTATCTGTGGAACATGTGGGATATTGGCCCAAACATTCATTATTTGTACATCCATTAAATGACTTAATCTACAGAGCAAGTTCTGATATAATGAGTGTCAGAATGTGTTGGCCAGTATGTGTTTCTGGTCATTCTATCCCCCCTCCCTTCTTGTAGATCTCAGCCCTTGTGTGTCATATTGTTTTGTAGCTCTACAGGTTGAGCATGCAGCTCACAGGTGTACCCTACAATTGTGGGTTTGAGGATGGCTTCAGACCACCAGTCACACCAGTTTTGTTTATTAGGTTTCCTAGTGTTTATTATTTTGTGTATTTTCCTATTTTTCCCGCTTCTGCTATGTTTTATTATGGTCCTAGTCTGTCTGGCCTTACCCTGGTGTTTGCTGTGTATTCTTAGTCTTTAGTGTTCGCTTGGTCCCTTAGTTCTGTGTTCATTTAGTGTTGCTGCTTCCACCTGTTTCTCGTTGTTCCTGTACCTCCCTCGATTGGTTAATTGATGGAGTTCCACCTGTCCCATGTTTTACCCTGGTTTCTGAGTGCCTGTTTCCTCTCTGATCTTTGGTCTGTCATTGTTTGTGTCTGTGCCATTGTGTGTTAGAAGTTCAGTCTGTTTCATAGTCCTGCCCCCTGTGTTGCTCTGTTTCCTGGTTTTTTAAAATTTATTTAGTAATTCTAATGCTTTCTTTAGTTGGTTCTTATTTTTCCTGTTAGTTTTTGAGCTCTTCTGTTCCCTTTAATTTTGTGCCTTTCCTTTGTGTGTTTTGTTCCATTTAATAAACCCTTGTTTTTCTTGGAACCGCAAGTGGAATCTCACATTTTTCCTGCCTGCGCCGTGCCATGACAGAAGAATGCCTTCACTTTTGAACTTCTAGCGGGTTTTTAACGGAAAAATCACAGAAGTAAGTAAAGTGAGTAGATAACAGCAACATGCATAATCACCACTGAGCATATATTCTATTAGCGTGCCAGAATAATTAGTAAATTGGTGAATTATTGCTCCTAATTATAATATTTATGAAAAATGTGATGTTCTAGTAGATTTACACTTTCAAATTTAAGCTGCTTTCATCTTCAAATATTTCCTTTTTTATCACAGTTGACATTCTAAACCGAAAAATTAATGTTACAAACATTAACACATTCACATTCAAAATGGTAGAGTTACTGTGTTACTCCAATGCAATTGAATGATTTCTTCAGATTCTAACAAAGTGCTTTAGTCTGCTGTGGATCTGATGCATTTGCTTTTTATAATTTAAGAGTCTGTCGATCCATCCATAACCACTTATCCAGTAAAATCGGAGGCAAAAAGAACATTTTATATACATTTTTATACAAGCTGTTGATATTGAAGGAATAATGATTGAGTTTAAAAATTTAGCATATTTTGCCTTCGAGCTGCACTTCTGCACAAGCTGTATGACCTGAAGCAATTATCTAGATATAAAAGCAGACATAATATAAGGTTGTTATGAGTCATCCTGGTAAACAGCATCAACTAAACAATTATACAACTATTACAGCTAGCCCAAGATGTTGAAGCTCTATATACATCCTTCAGTAACTTCTCCTGACTTCCAGCTTGGTTTTTCCAGTCTAATTAAAACCAGATGTCATTATAAATGTTTTCCGGTTAATTGTTTTATTTGCTGAAGAAAAAAAATGGAATGTGATTGCAGTAATTTAGAACTTCAACTAAAATCTGGAATTCATTTCCTTTTCCTGCAGAGAAGTATTTGAGTCTATCCACAGATGCGGCAGTTGTTTGTAGTCTTTCTCCTAGTAGTTTGCAGGGAGTAAGTGTCAAACATGGACACGACTGAGCCGTTTGTTCAATTTTGGGAAATATTTTTTTCATACGGAGAGTAAGAATAATGAGGTAAAAATATAAGGTAACGGTTTACCTTCACCTTAACTGCACCTTCCTAATGCCCTTATAATGCATTCATAGAACATTCATTCCACCGTCATAATGCATTCATAGAGCATTCATAAGCACCATGTAATTATACCCTAACCTCCTGACATTACCTTTTCAGCTTCAATATACATTAACAAACATATAACATTATAATCGTATAAATGAAAATAGTTGTTAATGTATAATAAAGTACATCATTATCATTATGGTGTATTATAATGATGTATATTAGTATTTGTTATATATAGGAGGCAGTATGGATACCTGGTTATGGTGTGTGATCTTGCAAATGTTCCTTCAAACTTCCAGTCCTTTATGAATGGAATTGTTCATCAAATAATGAACTGGTTTCTGAACATGTATATTGATGACATACTTGTTTGTTCTGTTGATCAAGTCAACTGTATGTGTCTCCTGTGATGTTCAGATTGCTGATGTTTGGTGGTCCCAGTCCCACACAGATACTGGTCTATGTCGCCATAGACCAGTGTTTCCCAACCTGGCCCTTGGGGACCCGCAGACAGTCCCCAGGGAGCTGGGAGGGAGCCAGCGGGGACCCAGACCGTCTGTGGCTCCCCGAGGGCCAGATTGGGAAACTCCGCTATGGACCTTTTTTTAAATGCTTCCTTTCAGTGGTTTTATCATTATTCTGATTTTTGTTGATCAGTTTAAGGTACCGAACAGTGTTTCCGCAGCCAGGTTGTTAGCTTTGACGACGTACTTCAGGATATCACTCTGGGATTGCGTACGAGTACGGAAGGCATTCCGCATGCAGCTAGGGCCTACGATCAGCCTGCTTTCTGGCCATTACACATTTTAGTGTTCCCCCTTCAGAAGTTGGTTTCTGTAGACCATTGCCATCGATCCACTCAGAGAATGTAGCTTGATATGAGGCATCCAGTTGTATCTTCTATCCTTCAAACTATGTTTCAAATACATTAGGCCCTTTAAGACGTTAAACCTATCAATCCTGTTACCTACCAGATGTCACTACCTCCTACGTACTGGATATTGCTCACCTTCCACATGTCCTTGTTGAAACCTGTCTTTTATAGCCCAGTAAACCTGCCGTTGAACCTCCCCCCCCCCCGTGAACAGGATTACGCCATCCGTGCCCTTCTGGATTCTCATTGATAAAGGAGACAGCTGTAATATTTGGTTATACACACCTTATCCCATGTCACTGGCTTCACCGTGGATGTAATCTCAGGGTATGGATGTCCTGCTTTTGGGGGAAAGGGTTACTGTCTCTTTTGCTTCAAGCATTTCCAGCGACTACACCCAACTAGACCATGAATCACCTAAATACTTGAGATGCTTATGTGACTGATTGAAAATAATTTCCCTATGTATGTTATCTTGTTTCTTATGAATTGTATCCAGGAGACCAAATTTATTTGACTAGTGAGGTTTATTTGACTAGAGGTGGTTGTGAAAAGACAATGATTCTGTTATCACAGTCTGCTCCATTTCTGAAATCAAATTTCATTTGAAAACATTTGATGGAATCCTTCTGAAGGGGGTGTGGGTGCCCCATACATGTAGCCATGGAGTAAAACAATGCAGAACCCCCACCCATATTTTTTTTTCTTACTGATCAGGCGCTTACCCATTTAGCAAAATCACGAAATTGAAACCCCCTCAAAATTTACTTCAACCGCCACCCCCCGCAATCTGCAAAGCTTGTCCAGTTGCTGGACACCCCCCGAAATGTATTTATGGCACTGAGCCGGGATGCCACCAAGTCACTATTAACATGCTATCCTATAAAAAACATTTGATTTGAGAGAACTTGTAGAACTTGTTGTAGAACCACACGATGGAGGATGGGTTAGGGACTTTGGGGGACTTTTGGGTGAGAGGTAGGTTTAACGAAACAAAAACAGGGCCCAGCCCTTTGGTCTGTGAAGAAACAAAAGATGAAACAATAAACATAAGATCATAGAAAAGGCTTCAGAGGGGTGACAGCTCAGGTGTTATTGTCTGAGCATTTCTGAGGAAAAAAAGAAACTCATGATTGATAAGAAGGCAGAAGTGAAGCAAATGAATGTGCTCATTATCCGACTGAAAAATATTTGACATGTTTTAATTCCCTTCTTGCAGTTTCAGCCAGTTATGCAATCAGATTGATATAAATGTTCACTGTTCGAGGGAGTTATGCAGACATACCTGTTTGCCTGTATCACTATGGGCTCGCATCATGGTGAAAACACTTTTTTGCAGGGCTGATGTAAATCTGAAAAGTGGGGTACATACAACCTTTGATATGTGCTTCACCCAGACAGTATGGAACATGACGTACAAATTTCTATAGTTTGATCTTGTCTTGTTTTTCCATGTCAGCTCTGTATGTTATTACAGAATAAAACAACACTGCTCCCCTCAACAATTCTCTGCGTGCTGCCACAGGTGAATGAAATCCTAACCCAGTGCTTTTAAGTTTGACAGTTACCTCAAATATTCCTTCTGACGTGCAACTGATTTAATGGGTGAGACAGATAAGCGCTAAATAGTCATTCATGTAATCAAAGGGCTAGTCTGCTGATTCTAAAAGCAGATGAGCTCAACAGAAGGGTTGGACTGAGAACTTCTGCTTGTCAAGGCAGCGTAACATACTGTATACTGTTATCTTATTACGCAAATATGACCCACCTAAAACCAGCTTCTTCATTATTACCTTGAAGTGCTGACAATATACTATATCAGGGACTATAACTTGTCTGTATTTCCATCTATGGTACAAACAATTTGTCACTCTAATTTGCACTAGCATGTGAAAGTGATAATGTCCTGTGATGGACAGACGTTCCCTCTATGGCATCACCTGCCTTATGTCCTGTGATGGACAGACGTCCCCTGTATTGTCACCTGCCTTAGCTCCAGATAAGCACTTACTGAGGATTATCCATCCATCCATCCATCCATTATTATTATTTTTTTAATTGTATGAATTTATTTAAAGTTGATTCTTACATGCATTTTAATGAAATTCAATGAGCTGGAAACCATACAGAATACAGTGTTCAATGTAGCGCGGGTCGTAAAAACCAGCAAAAATACAAAATGACACACTATATAAATCTTGTTAAAAATGACATGGATTGAGGCATATGTTATTTCTAATTCAAAGTCATAATGTTTAAAGCTCTATTACAGAAAAATGGTCATTAATATCATCTAATGACAGCAATATAGTACTAAAGCACATTCTTTCAGAAAATGTATTAAGGACAATTAAGTTTCTATTGGCTACTTCCTATTACCAAGAATTGCAAATTGGATTGTGGATGGGAGAAAAACCACAGGGATAATTTTAATCATAAATTACTGTCTTCTTTCTTGAGCCAGGTATATATATGCATTTCATCATTTCCTTTGCATACTTTTGTCTAGTAAAAACACTGAAGTCCATTTGAACTGGAGCCTTGTCATATCTGTGCATTCTCTGGAAGGTGAGACCTCCAGACTTTAAAGTATGGCAACAATTTCTTTTGTTTTGTCATTCATTTACTACACCATCAGAAAAGAGGGTGATTCCATGCATAAAGCGTACGGCTGCCTGACAGAGTGTCTTACATGCTCTCACTGCGACATGCACATATATATGAATGCATTAGGTCCCTGCCATTAAGAAAGACTGTGATACAGTGGGTAAACACCACAGAGGTCAGGTGAGCTGGGCGATTTGCTTAAGGATTATAGCAGTACGTATTTATGCCTGAAGAGGAGGGTGTTGGTGTTAGACAGTGTCGCTCATGAGGCAGATCCCTTAAGGCTGAGTTTCAGTGCTTGGCTCTTTGTCGTAGATGTAGCTGCCAACTCCTCCAGTGTTAACCCCTGTGATGAAAGGCGATAAACAGACTTCTGTGACTCCAACTGTGATAAACCGCCGTCATCAATGATAACATTTGACTGATTTACTGTAGGAGTTCTTACAACTGAGTAGCTTGCTATTTTTCTTTAGTGTAATTTCTGGGTTAAAGTTCTCATTTATAACCATTTATCCAGATGGATATTTTATTGAAGTGATTCAGACTGAGTTCAGGATTTCACCTGAGGAATGAATCTGCGTGCTACAGACTCATCGCAGGCTCTTGACCACTATATTATCTTTTCCCTAAAAATGTTATTCTCGGAATACTTTCCATTATTCTTTGTAAGGTGCTGTATGCCTTTTCAAGTTTCCTGACTGAAAACGAATATGTTAAAAGTGTCTTTCCAGCAGAGCACTGAAAATAACCATTTTGAGAAAACAAGCAGGAAATGGTCACATTCTTTTTGTGTAGCAGGAGCTCCCCCTAGAGGTGGCTGTAAATACCTTTGGGCCCAAAGAGGACGGCATAGCATGGTTTGTGGCAGTATGGCTGTCCATCGTGCTGTTAAAAAACAAATCATCGTCAGAAACAATACACTGGACAGGTATTTGCATGTACACTTTTAAAACATTTCTCCAGTGCCTGCTTCCATGTTCCCTGTCTCGATGTGCCGTTCTCCTCGTCCTCCTCCTCTCTTGCACAAGCTGGCCCCGAACTCCAAGGTTCCTACACTCACCTCTGCATGGCTTCCTGCTGCCAGGGTCTTGTTGCACCTCTCGCAGCGCAGGCAAGGCCGGTGCCAGTCCTTTCCCAGGGAAGTCACCTTCTCCGCTGAGTGGTGAAAAAGCTCATGTCACCGCAGAAAGAAGAACCCAAGTGCCCATATTACTGCCACAAAGACGCGATTAAGGAACCTTTGGAGGACCTGATACTTTAAAAACGGCATGGAGCCTGATCCATGGAGGAGGAATGTGGGTGCAGGACCTCTGTCAGCCAATAATAAAGCAGTGATTCTCAGCCTAAAACATTCAGGAACGTGGGTTTGAATCCAGCTTCCTCTCCGTATGTGGAATTTGACGGATTTCCTCCTAAAGTCTTAAAACATGTGTTAAGGCTGATTTGCATCCCTAAATCGGCTGCAGGTGTGTGCATATGCCCTGTGATGGACAGGCGTACTGTTCGGGGGGGGGGGTATCCCTGCTGACTTTAGGTCACCCTGGTTGGAATAAGGGTTTGGAGGATGGATGGATGGATTTCAAGAACATTTTTATATATGTTAATAAACAGTAGACTTTTTGTATTTTACTTTCAGTCCTCTTTTCGGGAATTTAGTCCACTAACATCATGCAAAAAAAAAAAAAAAAAATTAGCAATGGGAGAAATTTCTCCACAATGGGTGGGATTATCATGGCCTGTCAGTCATGACTTGTTGATTGAATGTCCCACTTTTAATTTTACTGATTCCAGGTTGGGTTAAAAGGCGGCCAAAAAATGCTGCTTTAAAGCAATTCCACTGTGGTTTTGGCTCACTAGTAAAAAGCACGACTGCATAGCCTGAAAATCCTCTTATATGAATTAGGCAGTAGAAAAAATGCAGTGAGTAACTGGCATGGATCAGATCACCGCTGCTGCTCAGATGATTTCAGTTTTCAGATACTGCAGATCATCAGCTTAACAACACAATACATTAATAGCTGGCCTTCCATTAATTTTATGGGATGGAACTTGTGGGGATGTGAAGTGGGACAGAACCAGGACCCCCCCCCCCCATCAGAAGGAGCCAGGATTTGTGGAGTAGCTCCTCAAAATGTTCTCTCCACTCGCAAACTGCCTCTACACTAAGCTGTGCTGACAGCCCATGCTGACCTAGGAAGGTGTGGGAGGAATGCAGGTCTTACCAAAATACACCTTCTTATTGCAACGAGGGCAGACACTGGGCTCCCCGGAGAAGGTTGTGATGTTGCCGGCTGAAATTAGACAGATTTTAAATTAATCATAGGATGTCCGTTCTACTGTGATGCATAACTCTAGTTCTATGTCAAAGACAATATGTATCCATTGGCAATCTTCTGTAACTTTTTTTCCAGATGATAAACTGCATGCATGTACTTTATTCATTGACAAAACAAACACATGTGACTATTTTTGAAATAATATTTATGATTGTGGGAGAGCTTTTCTGATCATATTTATGGATGTGCCCTTTAGTGCATTTTGTGTCAAATGTTCTGTGACTCTTTTAATGTCCCGAATAATGAATTTCCTTCATAGGACAAACTTCTACATTAATTTTAATTTAATGAAATGTGGAATCTTGGTCTGTCCAGCAAACTTCCCAAAGTACTATCACCCTGTTGGTAACGTAAACTCAGACATACGGAGTTCAGTTTGGAGCACAGCTGTTGTATCTTCATACAGTACACAGCGAGTGCATGAGCAAAAGTGAGAAAAGCAGGGGGGCCCTCTGACCCACAGCTCTAGAAGGGTCTGCCATCACCCACTGTCCTACAATAGCTGGAAAACTGAGCTTCCTGCAGAGGGAGTGCTGAAAGCGGGCTATCAGACAGTTCCACTGCGGGCTATCAGACAGTTCCACTGCGGGCTATCAGACAGTTCCACTGTGAATGAGCAGCCGCACAAACACACTGCCTTTTTAACGCTTAGCACATCCCCTTTGCAAAGCCTGGAGAAAGAGGACAGGTCACTCAGGTGCTCATGGGAAATGGGTTCTGGATTTCTACGCTTACCCTTTGAGGGGCCCCTGGGGGGGGCAGATGCAATCTTCTCTGCCGGTTTGGGGGGGGCTTCAACGGGAACACTGGCAGGCACATTGTTAGCAGGAGCCTCATATACGTAGGAGCCGGCACCCCCGATGTTCACGCCTGTGTAATGACAGTGATCGGGTCACCAGCTAATCCACCTCTTAGCAGGACACTTACATAGCAGTCGCTCAAAAAAACTTCTCTGGTGGATTTAGCCCATATCAGTTTTATACAGATCTTTATACTGGGTTGGTTTACAGACCTTCTTACACTTAATGCCTGTTTCAAAACATGGTGGACCGAATGAAAATAGATAAAGGAAGTTCACCTTTTGGTCCATAGAGGGCAGCATAGCAAGGCTTGTGACAGTAGGGTTTCCCATCATGCTGTGGGAAGAACAAAAAAACTAAAGTATGAAAGAGTCAAGGCACCGCCATGCGTAATCGGTGACATACATGCTAATTTTGCTCAAAATATTTAATCTTTCCTGTTATATTAATAGCACTGAAATGCATAGTTTCACATCATCATTTCTTTGCCAAATTAAGCAGAAATAAAACTTCCTGTGTATATAAGTATTAGTCTATGACAAGGCTGATTAATGGTAGGCACTTACAGAAGGGTGGGACTGGGGGTGCATGAGCACCTGCTAATTTTGCTGGAACTATTTAATGTGAGTACTGGGTGAGTACTGAATACTGAATACTGAATACTTCAAAAAGTCTCTGCACAGCCCTACAAAATGGTATCTGGAATGTAATGTTCAAGCTCTCCCAGTACTTAGCTGCATTAAAAATAAATTATATCCTATATTTAGAAAATGTTTTACCACCAAGATATGAGGCAAAATGTCCACCAATGAAAACAACCGTCAAGAATGTGTATGTAGACATTTGGCTTGGCCTCTCCTTTCCGTTTTAAGAATGATGTCTATTTTAATCCTGCATCCTGGATCCACTTGAGCTACAGCAGTACCAGCAGGTTTCTCTCCTTGGACCAGACTGTACAGATGTTTCCAACCTAGATAACATGAGAACTGGTTTCCAGGAGACAGACCCTGTTGATGAATGAAACAGAGCCACCCAGGAAAGGGGCAATGTTGAACAGAGCTTGGCAACTTGGCTGCCAATGCCTGGCTTTTCTTATGTGCCAACAAAGATAGCCACAGGAAGGTATTTATTTTATATTTGAGATGTAACCTGCCCACTTTGCCTTATTTGGACATCCAACATAAGATAAAGGTCTTACGAAAGCTTTATAAAAATAACCAGACAGGGACTGATAATCCACATTAGCTGTTGCCATGAACAACAATATATTTAACGTGTGTTGTGTCTTTAATGATTGGCTATCGCAAAGATTACACACACACACAGAGCTTCGTGGAAAAATGTGCACATACAAGAAATGCAACAGTTAACCTCCGGATTATGTAGTCATAATCTACATTTCTGTTGATTACTTCAGTCTAGACCCTAGAACCAGCTATTTTGGTTCTTTTTTTCCCTTTCAGGATCTGTCTGCTGTTTATCTGGATCTTGGTTGCTTTTTCCACAATACAGGAGCTAGACCCTTTGCCCAAGACCACAACCTGTCCCATATTCTTGCACAATATTCTGATATTTTTATACACAGTCCTGGGCTTCTGCTCAAAGAAACTTGTACTTCACCCCATGAGGGATGGATAACCATTTTACGTAAGAGAGGGATATAATTACCAGAGCAATGGCCGTTGCCATTTGCCACTAAACTAGAGAACCAAATAAGCTTTTGTACCCTGGTAATGAGGCCATATTCCCTCAGGAAGCGATAAGAGTTAGCCATGACTGGTTCTTTTACTGTAAGTCTGCTTCATTACTTGGCTCAGTGGTGATGACTTCCAGTTGCCTTACGAAGAACACAAACACCGTTTCCATATCTAGCCATCAATGGTTATCGATCTTATTTTTTTAGGGCTTATTTTCATAGTGATAAAATTCAGATATGCATAGAAATATTGAACAGTAAGAACGTAACAGAGCAAGGCCAGCGTAAGGTACTGGTACATCAAAGGTTATAGCAGGAAATCACTTTGTATTACAAAAAAGGAGGCAATTCCAGTCACGCAGGGCTCAAAACATTCCTCTGAAGAAAACTGGGACATTGGACACAAGAATGCCTTGGCAAGTGTTTGAAATGACAGGCTGTTTGTTTTTCACAAGGTGAACCATGCAATTGGATGTCAGATACGACAAACTGAAGGGCATTCCTGTCTGTCTTTCTAAGTCTATGTCCAGCTGTGACAGATGTTATTTTCCTGCCTCTTTGGCTGAGACTTGCGTCACAAATCAGTCGAGGTCAGGCTTAGGCCTCATACCAATGAAACAACTTCCTAATGAATGTGAGAGGAGACCTATTCACAATGCCAGTATGATCATCTAGAAACTTTTCATTAGCAACCATTTCTCATAGAACATATTTCCTCGCACAGAATGATTGTGCACATATGTGTAAGTGTGTATTTTATGAATGTACTCTGCACCCCCCCTATCGTCTTCACCCTCCTCACAGTTTGCACTCACCTCGGCGTGGCCCCCTGCTGTCAGGGTCTTGCTACAGCGTTCACACTTCAGACAGAATTTGTGCCAGTCTTTCCCTAGGGATGACACCTTCTCAGCTACGATGTAAAAGGGTGAGAGAAGGCAAATCAGTGAGAGAGAGAGAGAGAGAGAGAGAGAGAGAGAGAGAGAAAGAGGATTTCACACATACAAGGTAAACAATATTAATTTGGGGCAATTAAATCAATTGTTTACTCGTTCTGATACTACTCACACAATCCCCTGCCCACCTGGAAGTTGGATAAGAGTATGACCATCTAGAGTAGGATTCTAATGTATTGTTTAGTTATTAAAAATCCATCCATCCATCCATCTTCCACTTGTCCCATGTGGGGGCCAGAGCCAGGGAATAACCCAGGATGAGGCACCGACCCTTTGCATAGCACTCACACCATTCACTGCTATGGACAAACCAGAGGAAACCCCAGGACGACACAGGGAACATGCAAACTCCACACACATAGATCCGGGGCAGACCCTCGAACCTTGGTCTCCAGAGGTGTAAGGCAACTGTGCTAATCGCTACGCTATGGTGCCGCCCTATTTAAAACTCCATCAGTATTTAATAAATGTGCGTGACCTATGCCCCACAGCCATAAGGAGAATCAGGGCATTTCTTTTTAATAGTTTGATAGTTCCGGCTGTGTGGGTGTTACAGGGTATGGGTGTCGGCACTGGATAAAGGCCCAGCTGAGAGGAAGGTGGAAAGCAGTGGGAGTTATGATGTCATGTCTAAGGGGGGAGGAAGTGGGCTCTGCCAGTGTGCAGCTGGCCGGCACTGCATGAACGGCCGAAACTAAATCCTTTGTCCTGGTTCAGCACTCCTTTGGCTCCTTCGCTTCCCTGTTCCTCGCCCAGACAGGCTAGCTGCCCTAATTATACACCTTCCAATTATAAATCTCTGTCTCCAAACAATGCAGGAAGGCCGGCATGCTGAGCCGACACACACTGGAGGAAACAGCTCTTCTTATCGCTGCCACACACACCAGACGGATGTCAAACTCTCTTTCCTCCGTTTCCTGAAATCTCACTCTTTCTTGTCTCTTTGCCAAAAAGAGTCATTGTTTTACATCAGCCTCCACATGCCCACTCCAACCGTTTCCAGAGTACCGCTATGTTTGTCTTTCTGGCACCCAGTTAATTCTCTGCGAACTTAAATAAATTAAATAGACTAACAACGTCATACAGTAGGTGCTGATTATGGGCTACTGATGACAGACAGAGAGACAGACAGACAGACATTTCCCAAGGTCACATCCCAAGGCTCCCATGATAAAAGCTGGTGACATTCTTTATTTTGTTACTCAGGGCTATTTAAGGCCACAGTTCTTTGTAAAACCTCATGCATCTGCACAGTTATCCCTTCAGAACCTTTTGCCAGTTGGGCACTCAGGTGAAAGAGTGAATGGAAAAACAGGAGGGGAATTGCTGTAGGTGTGGCTCATACAACACATACAATATATAAAAGTCCCCAGACAAAAGGAAGAATACAAAAGTACATACAAACCAGGCAAAAAAAAACAACAACACTTTTTTTGTGTGGAAAAAAATGGCATATGGGGGGGGACACAAATTATTAATAATTTATAGCCAAAGGTCTATTTACTGGGGGGCATCCCTGCATGCAAAATAAGTCCTGAATCTACAATAAGGGCTTCACAATCCACCGGTCCTTTACATTCTACAGTACAATTACTATGACAGGAAAAGCATATAACCTATGAAAGGTGAAAGAGGTGCTTTAGTCCTCCAGGCCTGCGGTGGTCGCTCTTACAACTCTGTCGCTTACTAATTTATAGTCAAAACATCATCGCTAATACTGTACAATCAATTACCAAAGACCCCATTTCGCAGTTCTGTCGTTGGATTTTTGGAGGAAAAGAAATTAGGTAAATGGGCATTTGTGGATCTAGGTTCTTTTTTATTTTCTGATAATCATTTTATATCAAAACTGGGACCTTGTATGTTCACACAGAGCAAGTTTGTTTTTCCCCTTCAAATAAAAATGCAACCAGGCCAAAAATATACTGAGTTGCCATGGTTTCGATCAAGATTAAGTGTTTCAAAGAGACAAATGTTTGAGTGTGGCATTTTGAAGAGCTGGGCTTTTAAAAAATTAACACTACAGTCAAGACACAAGTGAAAGGTAATGTGCCATGTTTAAGCTGTGACATTGCAGGCTGAGTGAAGCCGGCGTGTGACAATCAGGAGTCACTAATCTACGCAGGCAGAGTCTGAATTTCACCCAGTAATTTTTCTATAGTGCCAGTCAAAAATCTGGAGATACCTGCATTTGTCTCTATTTTAGCTAGATCAACACACCGAAATGATATATTATTATATTATTAATATTATATTATTAATATATTATATTATTCCCTAATGAGTGAAGCGTGTGGCTGTCTGTCTTCAAGTACTTGGTGGCCACCAAACAAAGAAGCAGATCAGGCTAACAAAGAGAGAGCGAGACGTCGTGATAATTAGATGGGCACTTGCAAAGCAAAATAGTCAGGAGGAAGCATTCATTTAACCAGCATCTTCTGGGGCCTTCAGAATGGGTGATTATATTCCGGGGTGTTTAATTACTGCTTCTTAATTACTAGCCACAATGATTTGGCACCTAAACAGCACAGCTCAACAGCAGAAACCCAGCCGGGTGCCAAGCGGATCACCCCGGGTTCTCATTTTAGGGTGAGAAGCGGAAGCATCTGATCTTGGATCTGCTGACAAAATTGCGTAAAGTCCATGCAAACGATTAAGCGCCGTCCAAGAAACATCTGCACGTTCCACCATGTTGCACTTTTCCGGCAGAAATGCTACATTTGTTCTCTCACTTGGCAACATCCAAAATAAACCTATAAAGTATCACTGAGAGCTGGCAGATTAAGATCTGAACTTGAATCATGTCAATTCAAGTATTATTATACATATCAGTTGCACTGCCAGTATTTCTGTAAAGTACTTAAAGTCCACTTCATTATATCTAGTTTTACTATTATAAATTGAATTTAGTTAATTTAGAAATGCACATGGTCTTCAAAAATTAGCTGAAGTGCTTCATAACCTGTGACTGACCAAAAAGCTGTTGAATTTTAAACAGTGACAGACTACAAGAACAGAGTAAAAGAAATGAATTCACTATAAATAACTTCTAATATCTAAAGTAATATCATATATCATAAATATTATTGTTTTTGGCATATTGCCAAGAACAGCCATATACAGATTTCTATGCAGCATATAAACTGTAGAGGTGTATGTTGTGCTTCTACACATAACATCAGTGCATTTCCAGTGTTCAGTGTAATCCTGTGAGAGGTGGAACTCGAGCTTGCAGTGGGATACTGAGCAGGGGTTCGACAAGCATCGGAATATCTTTATTCATTTAACCTCGATACTACCAGTATCAATGGGATCATATGCTGTATCTATAGACGACAGGAGTACACTTGGGACAAATTTCAATTCTAATCATTCACAATAAACACACGGTTATATGTAGAATTAGCATGACATTAGGTGGGTATCAATTGGTTAAAGTCTGTTTGCCATGGGCTTCATTTTTGTCAATACGTAATAATATGTAATACAGTAAATAGGGCAGATTGCTATTCCTGACATCAGTCACACCATCTGCTTCTTGCGTCCCACTGCCATCACCAGTCCAGAGGTGCCGTCCACATGGTGCCACTGTTCTGCTATATAAACCCCTTTGATGTGCACCAAGCTGAGGACACTGTGGACTGTGTGGTCAGTGTAGAATGTCCCTCTGAGAGACCTTCCAAATGACGTTAAGCACACACACACTCACATACACTTCTGTGGTCACTTTATTTCCATGCTTGAATTGTTTTTTTCCAAATGGCCATATTTAGAACAAAAAATTATGACATCAGGCCAAATGACCCATCCCTCAGACAATAATGGTCCAGTTCTAAAACTGGGCACATGCTGGCATTTTTTCCCCTCTGTCTAAACTGCTGGGTGTGACCAGTGGTTCTGGGGGCAGGTCCAAGGCTGACGCAATGCCAGTGCAAACTGCACCCAAGGCAAAGACTTCCTCTCCCTCTCCCTCCCCCACAAAGAAAACCCAAAAAGGCGCCAAGGCACTGAACCGTGATGCCACCGCTGACGGATACTGCTGGTCAGGAGAGTTCTAGAAACTGACTTGGCTCAAGCCAAGTCTCCATTCATTCCTTTACGTCACTGGATACTAACTTTCCACAATAGAATTTAAGCAACAGGTTGAAATATATTAACAGGCTAAGTTCTGTTAAATTACATGTCATCACACATAGACAAACTGACCACATTATCTGTAAAACCTAAAATATCTAAACTCAGTCGCTGAGATAAAAATGTAAACCAAGCTATGGTCATATTCCAACAATATATTTTAATATCTAAAAATACATGATTTAGGGTATTATAGGTGAGCAGTAATGATTAATAAGACTCGACTAGGAAAGTGAAATCATTTCAGCAAGATTTTCAAAATTTATTTTAAATGATTTTCATGAGCAATTATTTTGTTACTTAAAAAAAAGTGTCAGACAGCTGCAGTACTGGTCAAAAGTTTGGACACAGCCGCTTTTAATGCATTTGTCATTCACCATATGGGCACAAGTTGGCTACCTTGCCCTTATTCTTCAATCCAACTCATCCCAAACTAGCTCTATAAGGTTTGGGTCGGGGGATTGTGGGGGCCAGGTCATCTGTCACAGCACATATCTTTCCTTGTTCACAAGATAATACTGTACTCACATAACCTTGAGCTGTGCTTTGGGTTGCTATCTTGTTGAAAAACAAATTACTTTTAGTAGGTGTGTTCAGACTTTTGACTGGTACTGTAAATATCAGGGTTGGGGCCATTCTGGAATGCATTCATCGATTTCAATCCAAATCAGGAAATGGAACTGGAGTTGGAATTTAAACCTCCCTGAAATTCCAATTCAATTCCTGTTCTGTTCCCCATAGTTTGTTTTCCGATCCCAACTCCAGTTCAATTTCCTGATTTGGAATGTAACTGATGAATGCATTCCAGAATGGCCCCAACCTGGGTAAATATATTGGGTGGCGCAGTAGGAAAACCCAGGAATAGAGCTAGGGGTCAAATCCCACCCCTGTTCTGGGCCATATCATGCATGTTTCCGTCTGCTGTTCAAAGACATGGACTTTGTTAACTGGTGTCTTTAAACGGTGTGTGTGTGTGTGTTTGTATACGTTTATGTACCCTATGATGGCCTGACATCTTAATACCATGCATTTACTCCCCTCTATTATGTGTCTTGTGTCTTGAATTAAAAGTCTATATTGTGCCCCAATTGATACTTGTATATTGTCATGGTGTCTCCAAACAGCAGCACGCTGTGCCAACAGAAATTTCCACTGGCCTTGGTCATGTAGCAATAAAGATGCTGGTTCTGATCAGGGTATATTCTGATCGGGGTATATTCTGACTGTGGTATATTCTGACTTACGACCGCAATCGGTTTCGACTGACCGGTTGTAAGTTGATTCGGTCGTAAGTCGGCCCTTTATTTTATATGCAAAAATGATTACATGTATACTGTATAATAAAATGTCATCATATTATGATATTGTTTGGTGTTTTTCAATCTTTTTTAAAACTGTCATACTCTCACGCTAGACAGCACTCGCCCTGCGTGGTGGCCGCAGGTTTGAGGCATCAGAACAGTCGTAAGGTCGATCATTCATAACCTGCATAGGGCGCAAGTCAACAACGACCTGTATTAATAAACAGATGCTTAGAGTAACAATATGAAGTATATATCCTCCTAATAGGTTTATACATAATCATTTGATAAAGGTACGTAGATGTATGTTATTAATGCTATGGAAGACTTGTCGGGTAAAAATGTCTGCTGAAAGTTATTGATAAAGATTAATAGAGATGTCTGTGCCTCAGTTTGAAAGTCATACAGAGATGACATGGATTTATGCTCCACTAGGACATGGGAGCATGAGGTGATGGGAATGGCAGCCAAGATATCAGCGTCTTCATGCTCTGTACTGAGAGCTCTGTGCCTGAAGCAGGGGCCCGTGCTTAACAGAGATGCCATAATTCATTATGATGCTTCTGACGCCTGGTTATAAAAACTGACCTTAATTAAACAGAAAAAGCTCTCAGCCTGAGATGTGAGAGTCAATAAGAGCAAGAAAGAAAAGCTGAACATTATGTCATAGGAGGGGGACAGTCTACGTCTCTGACTTGTAACTGAGACTGGGAATAAGTAAAAGGAATGGGCAGTCACTGAGCGGGTTAGCTATCTGATAGATTTTTATCCAGAGAGACAATGCAATTTATCTTCAGTTCACATGCAGGAAAAATAGTATTATTATTATTATTTTTTTATCTCAAAACAAATAATTAATTTGTCTGATTTGCAGCATTGCCCCTCCCCCAGGCTCCCTGGGAAGATGTGCTTCTGCCCGTTCGTGTAACGATTGATATGCAGGCTACACCAAATCTCGGCATCTGTCTATGTAGTCTGGTTACACAGCCTGAAGCACAATGTTCACATAATAAGGAGAATCCAATTACCACTAAAAGACAATAAAGATGCATCTTTTTATTTCATACCTTGCATTTCTCCTCTAATTTATACTATTGAATAATTTTAGAATTATTTAATTATTGTTTTCCTGTATAGTTCGATAATGCACATCTGTTACGACAGAAACTAAAATTTGTTAGCATAGTTAATCCTGCTAAACACTTGGGACTTCCTTTCCAAATCATTTGCAGGTATGACTTTCCTTCCGATTGAATGACTCCAGTCCATTTAATCTAAGAAAGAGATACCACACTAATGAGGTCCTACAGCAACATGTACACATTTTTAATTCTCTTAAAATAAATGCAGTACTGCACATTAGCAATTATATTAAAGGGAATCAGAATGGCTGTACTACAAATTAGCTATGGTATTCCGTAAGTAATCAATTCAGTGTTTTAAGTTGGATCCTGACTCCAGGTAACCTCTGGGGTCATACCCTCTAACCCCCTTAACCCCCCCTAACCCCCCCCACACACACGCACACTCACTCTTCTTAATTATGCTAAAGATTACAGGGCAAGTGGAAATCCTCCAAGGAGGTAATTTTCCCATTTCATGGATGAATTATTAAAAGTCAGATATTTTTAGATGTTTTCTTTTAACTCCGAAATGCAGAGACAAATGTCAGCTCTATTTAAAAAGTTCCAGACCCGTCCATGCATGTGGACTCCAAGCATGAAATGGCTAAATATGCGGCGAACCCGGCAATATATGGCCGGCGTCTCAAATGAATGTTATTTATAAGCACGAGTGGAGATGGGTCTCTCTAAGATCATTTGTTAGGGTACGGCGGGATCAAAATAGCATCTCCTGATTTTCCACTCCTACAGAAGCTACGACAGTGTCCAGCATTCCTTCGGTTCCGAGAGGACCCCACCCACTTCACTGAGAGCTCTAAGTACTGTGGCCAGACAGATGTAGCAAAATAAAAATAGAATGTTAGTGGAGAAGAAAAATAATTCCAGAAGGTGGCTTTCTGCATTTATGGCGTAAGGTTTTAGGTCTATTAAATGGAAGAAGTGCAAGTAGTTATTTTTTTCCCTCTAGCTTCAGTACATTCCGAACCTTATCCGCAGTCTTCCTGCGCCCTAACTTTAGGGTCAAGGCGCATAAGGGGCATGGCTACAGAAAGCACAGGCAGCATTATTATGGGTTATATTCAATTACTTTGTCCCTTGGGTCTCTCCTGTGATGATGACTGGCAGCACCAAAGACAACAGACCAATCATTAGAGGCCTATGTGATCGATGACAAGTATCATGACTCCAGTGACAATGTGATCAACGTGTTACATCTTAAAACAACTGAAATTACTGTATAGAATGCTGAACCTGCTATCCAGAATGCTACATTTGTAAAGAGGGTAATGCTATTTGAGAACTACTGCATCCGGGAAAGAGTCTAAACTGCAACCTAATATTCGATAAGGTGCCATAACAGAAATGTGTCATCATGAGATTAAAAGCTACTCAGCCCGGTGCTGGTTAAGATGCCTCTTCCACCACTAGTAGACCGAAAATTCACAAAACTCAGATAATATTAAAAAAAATAATAATCTAGCTAAACACACTTCTTTCAAACCAGTTTAAATATTGATGGCCAAATGTATCAAAAACCAAAATAGTTTTTTAGTTACATAGATATTTTGATTAATTTTGAGCTCACTATTGCTTATTTTTTCAGTTACCAATATCTTGGTGGAATTGGTCGATGTTATCCACATATTCAAATATAGTACATAAATATATTCAGGCAGCATGGATATCAGCAACAGATGCACTGATCAAGGGAAATTTGTAATCAAAACTACGACTTTGATTCATTCTCCCGCCTTAAAACCATCAAAAGTCGATATTTTATTAACATTATCAATAAATCTTTTAATACCACATCAATCAGACTAATGAAATAAAAAATATATTAAGAGCAAAATTAACACAGCTAATAATTACAAATGATATTCATACAAAGCAGGTTGAATTGGTTGCGAAAGCGGCTGCTTTGCATCCCCCCAGTTAAGCATCCGCCCTTTTCTACAGCCAGGGCGATACATTTACGCCCGCGTTCAATTAGCCATTAATTACTGTTTATAAATGAGAACGTGAGAGACACGCGGCCGGCAGCGATTTTCTTGAAACATAAAAGATAATTAACGAAGGAGTTGCTGGCTGACTAAAATAAACATTTCGGAAAAGTAACTTACCGAAATAGACGGTTTTGTCGCATTTGGGACACTTGGATGCCATTGTTTTAATAAGTGAAAGGATACTTGAAGCCGGTGCTTTACGCTGCTCCGCTGTAGCGCTCACCTATCGGCGCGGATTTTATTATACGGACCGAGCATCCCGTGAAAGCGGCTTTGCGTACTTTGCATGGCCCCGCCTTCGGTTTCCGCTTTCGCGGCGCCGCCAGCCCTTTCCCGCCCTACTCTTCCACCCCAAACCCAAACAGTCAGTGCTTGGGTGGGGCCACCATGCCCGCCCCCCCGCCCAGACTCAGAGCTCTGGAAAGATGGACAATAGTGTCTTTCACCAGCTATGAATGGGAATTCTGTTGCTCTTGCCTGTCCCTTAGTTCACTCCTTCAAGACAGCGGTATCACCCAACAGGATATAGTTATAATACAGACACTCACAGTCGTAGCCTAGAGATAATGTCTTGACAACAGCCTACAAAACATCATTTTGCATTCTAATGAACATTAGAATTAATGAGATGTTGCTAATTATAGAAGTAACCCTAGTTTGCCCTGTAATTTACTTTATATACCCCATGACATTTACACAATTCACATTTGTTTATTGTTAAACATTGTGGTTGTTAAGCTACTTGCATATCTGCAACAGTTTTGTAGCTGGCCAAACTCTGCGACATTTAACAGGTGTTTTCTCAGATTTCTGTTTTATTCGAGATTCTTTAATCATCTCATCATGTAAGGATGCATGTGCCCAAACATTTCTCCCCTTTGACCCACACGGCCAACATGGAACATCGCTGCTCTGGAACAGCATGCAAACTGGGATGAGGTAAACAAAAATAAACAATAACAAACAAAAGTCAGTCATACGTCAAATGGACAAAAAGTAAAATATTAATAGAATAAATAACATACACACACACACACACACAGACACACACACACACATATACATATGCATACATATTGCATAAGAAGCAGCAATGGTGAACAATTACATACAGAATATGCATAAATGTACATAAATGTGAGAGTGAAAGTGTTACTCCTGTGGGGCGTTGGGAAGTTTCTTTGCCCACATGGTTTTGGCTGATATTGTATTTGGTTTGGATTGGTATTTATTGTGGCTCTTTATTTGAATTGCATATGTGCCCAGTGTCTGTAAAATCTTTACCACTATTCATCCATCTGTGCATCAAATATTACCTCCCCAATAATCTTACACTGTATCATTTAGAATTAAATATCGCCACTGAGTTTATGCGCTTTTCTTTGTTGAAACACACAAGCAGGGCCAGAAGAGGTAAGACGTGGAGGAGATGAAAGCCAGACAGAGAGAGATGCTGTGTAGATGTTCAGGGACGAAAGCCAGACAGAGAGAGATGCTGTGTAGATGTTCAGGGACGAAAGCCAGACAGAGAGAGATGCTGTGTAGATGTTCAGGGACAAAAGCCAGACAGAGAGAGATGCTGTGTAGATGTTCAGGGACAAAAGCCAGACAGAGAGAGATGCTGTGTAGATGTTCAGGGACGAAAGCCAGACAGAGAGAGATGCTGTGTAGATGTTCAGGCGTAAGACTCGTGAAGTTTATGAATTCTCTGATTTCATGACGCAGCCTAATGTGACTTAAGCTTAGTCCGAGCTGAGCATCGAGGATGTCGCCGGACTCCTTTTTACTGGGGCACGTGTCCCAGTATTTATGTGCTGTGCCCCACTAAAATCTCATGTGTAATGGGGAGTGGGGGGGGGGGTAGTTTTTTGTCTAGCAACACCCCTCCCAAACATACAAGAAAATGGGTGTGTGATCTGCATCAGAAATTGCCATACCAGAGTGGACACATGCGGGATGCTGGGAACAGACGCCTGTTCCAGTGAAACGCCCATCACCTGCTCTCCGCATTCCCTTATTAGTCGCCTAATCCCTCGCAGTCAGGGACTGACAGTTGTCCACTCTTGGTGATTTGATATGATTCGGTGCCTCGTGCCGCCAGGCTGTCCAGGGCAAAGATCATCTTTACAGCAGGACCCTGTACACCTCTGGTTGTCTGATTCTCTCGCTCACCAAGAGTAACAGCCCCACATGCTAAGCTACAGAATGACTGATGACTCTGTGCAGAAATCAGAAACCCTGTTTAAATGTAAAGACTGTAAAAGCTAATATATACGTCTGTGTGTGTCCCTGCGTGTTAGTTAACTGAACATTCCCCAGCAAAGATAAAGCCTAACTAACGTTCCAAGAGTTTCAGTTTATCGGGCAGGGTAAGTGGTGGGCTTATCACACTTCAGCTGCTTAAGAGACCAGACTTAGAATGTAAGGAAGGAGTGTGACAGAGGATAAGAACAAGGCGGTTAGGATAGAGCACCTGTGAAAGTTTGCTAGCGTTTCTTGTGTGTTTAAAGCTTCCATTCTCCTTCCTGGATATTTTAACATTGAAGTCTGAGTTGTGGAAGCCAACCTATCTTTGTTGCAAAGGGTGGCAGCCACTAAATCCTCACTGCAGCAACAACTTACCTCTTGAGGATTCAAGCACATCATGACATGTACATTATATCTGTTCCATTCCAACATAACAAGACAGTGAGACATAGAATCATGGAGTAAAACAAGTGGCAGATATAATGGTGTTTCAGTTTGGGGTACAAATAGGCTGTGCTCTTGCCTGCAATAATATTGTTTTTCCTGAACTTCTCTGGAAAAGGTAGCTAGATGTTTGAAGCTATTTTATTGGCCTTCGTTTCTTGTAGACCCATGATCTAGACCAAAATAAGCAGTTGGAGGATAGATGGATGGTTCTCAGTGTGAAATCGATTCAAGCTGAGCCAGCGGCAGCATAAGGGAAAATTCTGCTGTTCTTGCCTTGCGTGCTCTCCAGTGGTCCAAGGAGAAAACCCGGAAAAGCTCCCTCCGAGAGCACTGCAGCCACTGCAATTTCTTTATTGCCTATAATTATGATCATGAATCAAGCTCCCTCAAAAGGCAGATGGGCAAGTACCACTTTCCTCAAATTATTATTTGTTGATTTGTGTTGACCATTTAGAGTCAGCAAGAGAATTGTGAGGCAGGAATGGACGTCCTTGTGCACAGCAAAGTCTGGTGACCTGCACAATCAATCATTGTTTTCTCTAAAAAGTGATCAGACTCTGATGTCCAAGGCTGCATCCATATTTATTAAATTTTTGTTCTTTATTGACCCCAAAATGACTGTCCTTTGTTTTTGTTCCTTGCCACCTTTTTTGTTAAACCTGTTAAGCAAACTTTTTTGTTTCCATCCCTGTTAAAAATCCTTAATCTTTCCTCTGAATCCCATGACCCTCAGTTCTGTTTATTGGTGCGTCTTACAGTATTATAATGCTGAGATAAAAACTCATTATTGAAGATATGTAAAGGACTTGTGGTTAAGAAGCACCAATTGAAACGTCATTCACTGGCGGTTCATCCAACAGTCATTTGAAAGACTCAATTTTGGCAGAGATGATGACGTACATATGAGAAAGGTTCTGTTCACAGATGCATGAACAAAAATAGTCAATGACTTAAACAAATGACCTCTTGAGCTGGAAATATATGAAGATGATGACTTACGCTGTTCTTAGGTTTGACCTAAAACCCACTTAATTTCCTCTTCAGGGTATTACACAGCTGTGCTCAAATCAGATATAAACCACCAACCACCAACCTATGATCTCTGCCTGTTTTTATATAGAAGCAATATACACAGAAGGGCGATATAAACAGGGTTTTTTGTCAACAGAATCACTCATGGATCCCACTTGGAAGAGCTCTGGGAACGATGTTTCTTTATATAAACAACCAGGATATTCCTCTGTTGTTGCCTGGTCTTGTATAACTGGAAGACAGACCTGGCTATCTCTCTCTGTCACACTACGTGATATAGTCTTTCTCAGTCTAATCCACTCCTAGTATTCCTGACAACTTATAGGTGTTAGAATTTGAGGGGAAGTGGAACGAGTGAAATGTGACCTGACCTCTGCACCTTTGCAGCCAAAACAAGAGCTTCTCTTCATACTCCTCAAACCTCTGGCAATCTGTCCTGGCTGTACTTTACTTGTGAGGACCTTCATCACCAAGCACACTTCCCTGGGCACCAAAGCGTCCCACTACTTACTAACCGTATGTATGCTTGTTGAGCTTTAACTATTTCTCTGCTATGGTTACACATGAAAACTTAACGTTCATGTTCCATAGTTTGTTTCAAGGGTGAGAGGACAGGTGTAGTTCATGTCTGGTTTGAGAAGACCTCTGCAACACGGGAAAAGCGGAAGTTATAAGCTACTTGAAAGGACTTGATAGTGAGATCAAGCCGACCCAAGGTAACTTGTGCATGTAAGTCAGGGTATGGGGGATGTTATGTTATATTTGGTCTTTGATGGGCTGTATGCAGATGTTTTTATGATAAACTCACCATTAATTAATTAGCGTTTTAGTTTTATCTGTCCATTTTCACATAAATGAGACACTTCTTAATTTCACTGAAAAGCAATATTGCGGTATATCTGTAAAAAAGAAAATATATATAAAATAAATGAGTGTTTGTACATGACAGAAAATATGGTGGGTGACGGATTAGCCATTTGACAGAAATGGCGACTACGGCAAACACAGCCGCTGTTCCGTCGCATGGGTAAGCGCATTCTAAATCTGCGGAAGTGCAACACAGCATTGCTGGGGGTCTGTCTCCAGAGCCCCCGGCAGAAACATGTCTGTCAATGCAGGACTAACCTTTATCAATGACCTATTGAACCCAGCATCAGTCCAGCCTTCATCACAATGACTGCCTGTATAGCAGGGAAAGTTTAGATGGCAAATCCTTCATGATCTAAAACAATATCATTAAACACAGGGCCACTATCAAACTTAGAACATAAGAACATAAGAAATTTACAAATGAGAGGAGGCCATTCGGCCCATCAAGCTCGTTTGGTGAGAACTTAACTAATAACTCAGAGTTGTTAAAATCTTATCTAGCTCTGATTTAAAGGAACCCAGGGTTTTAGCTTCCGCTACACTAGCAGGAAGACTATTCCATACTCTAACTACACGCTGTGTAAAGAAGTGCTTCCTCAAATTTGTTTTAAAATGTTTTCCCGCTAATTTCCACTTATGGCCACGGGTTCTAGCTGTTTATGAAGCTAACCAGAGTAATAATCTATGTAATCATGTACATGGGTG